TGTTTGGTTTGTTGGCTGTGGTCTGATGTGTGTTCCAAAGCTATGCCAAAATGGCCGTGTTCCAAAGTACTGGGGGGGCCCCCGGTGAAGGGTCCCAGTTTTTTGCTTGATTTTGGCTACCAGAAGAAGAGTTATTGCGTTGTGCATGTTTTTCTGCATTTTGAAACTTGTTCCTGGCACCGCCAAAGTGACAGGTATCAGAAACGGTCAATAACTTCCTTATCGACATAATCGTCGTGCTGTGGGCAATAGCTTTTACCCTCACAACGTTTACTTAATTCTCTGCAGACGTTTTCAGAATAAGCAGTTGCACGCAGCGTAGGCCTTGTTGGCAGACGAGCTCAAAGATTTGAAGGAGCAGCGGAAGACTTTGCGCCAGGCATGTTTTGCCACGTTCAAATTTGTTTCCCGAGATCAGAGCATCCAGTTGGTGAGGCCATGAAGAAAAACAAGATGGACCGCCAAGCGGCAGACCGACGCAAAAGTCGGCTGCTCAAGGCGGGGTTGTGCTGATTCTGTTGGTGACCAAGTGTGGAGTGAAACATATATGGAAGGCAGCCAAGCAGCTCTCTACTTCAGACTTGAAGCTCCTGGTTTCCGCCAAAGAGAAGGCGGAAGCAGAGGCTGCTGTTGCTGCTGCTGCTGCCCCTGCAGTTGCTCCCGCGGCAGCGGCTGAAGGCCCGTTCGCGTCTAGTGTTGTTGAGCTGAGGTGAAGATGTTATTTGTATTTTTTTGCGGGTTGGCCAGGATGAAGTCGCCTTCTGTGAGGGGTGGAGCATGGATGAAGGGCTGTGAGCATATGCTCACAGGTGATTCAGACTCATTGTAGAATGAGGGTGTTTGCGCACCCTGGCCACTTGTGTGCAAGTAAAATGGACAGACTTGTGGCGCAAAGAGGCCAAGGATCGTTGCATCAGATTGAATCTGACCGCAATGCTGGGTAAAAGTGCGTAATGCGGCGCGCAACAGTGCGAAACAGTGCGAAACATTGTGAAACACTGTGCAACACAGAGTGCAACACACCACGCAACGTTGCAATTTACAGTGATTTTTGTGTTTTGGGGAGACCAAGGCTGTCCATTCTGAAAAGTACCAAGATTTTTCTTGCCTGCAAGCACGAAACGTCGTAAATTACAACGTTGCGTGGTGCGTTGCACAGCGCGTTGCACTGGAACTACGCAACGCAGACAAGGGCACAGTTGCAAGTCTGCAATCGGCCAAGGTTTTTGAACACTTGCTCGTCTCAGGAGTGACAAGTTCTGTGCATTGCGCTGAATTCAATATCTTTTTCTGCGGCAGCTTGCAGGAACGTCTTTTTTTGGCGCAGGTTCAAGCAGAGTCTTGTCCTGACCTCGGTCATTGTGCAGTTGGCTTGCCTTCGCTAGCTTTCGACTGCATAGCACAAAAGCGTTGTTATTTGCGTGCAAATGGCTTTTGTTTTACAGGCAGAGTGCATTGTAAGCCGAAAAACCCTATTGACCCGCGTTTGTGTTTTTTCGTCCTTCCACCTTTGCGCGATTTGTCCACGCGACTCCCTCTTCTCTTCCCTCCATGTGCGGGATTTCAGGGTCGTAGGTGTGACCTGGAAGGGTCGTAGGTGGAGGTTTGCGGGTCGTAGGCACACTCGGTGTGACCTGGAAGGGTCGTAGGTGGAGGTTTGATGGTCGTAGGCGCGCTCCCTACAAGGGGATATGCAGGTGGTAGGTGTGACTTGGAATTGTCATAGGTGGAGGTTTGTGGGTCGCAGGTGCGCTCCCTGTACAAGGAGATTTGCAGGTCGCAGGTGTGACCTGGAAGGGTCGTAGGTGGAGGTTTGAAGGTCGTAGGCGGGCTTGCAGGGTTGCAGGTGGGTACCTTACACACCGTGGTGGTGGTACACCTTAAACACTGGTGTGGTTCACCTTAAACACCGTGGTGGTGGTACACCTTAAACACTGGTGTGGTTCACCTTAAACACCGGGGGTGTGGTACACCTTAAACACCGGTGTGGTTCACCTTAAACACCAGGGGTGTGGTACACCTTAAACACAACACCAGGGGTGTGGTACACCTTAAACACCGGTGTGGTTCACCTTAAACACCAGGGGTGTGGTACACCTTAAACACTGGTGTGGTTCACCTTAAACACTAGGGGTGTGGTACACCTTAAACACCGGTGCCCCTTTTGATGTTATTCCGAGGTTACGTTCAGGTTTGCTTAGAAGTCAGCTTGGGGTTTATGTTTGGGTGAGCTGGAGCTCACCTAGAGACCTAGAGGTCAGCCTGAGCTTAGCTTGGACGTTCAAGCAAGTTTGAGGTCGAGGTCACTAAACCTCAGCTTGGAAGGCAGCTTGAGGTCACCCGGAGGTCAGCCGGCCCCTTGTCCCAGCAGCGTGTTGGGTCCGAGAAGGTGGTGAAAGGGTGTTTTGTGTTGGGGTGCCTTATATAACAAGGTTCCTGTCTGGCTCGTTCTTTCTGCGCCCGTCGCCTTCTACACTTCCTAGCATGCGCTGTCTCCCTTTCTCCTCCGTGCTTTTTTCAGCTTTCAATGTTTGACGTGGACTGAGATGTTTTGATTTTGCAAACCAAATGCCTTTTAGTATTATTCTATTGGTGGGATGTTGTTTCACTTGTGATGTCAGTTTGCTGTCTTGTGCTTTCTTGTTTATTACGCCTTTTCCTTGGTTTTTGGGATAAGCGGATGTCGGTTTATTCTTTCCATTTTAGAGGAAGTGCGCCTTCCATTTTAGCGGTTGCGCGTTTCTTCCATTTTAGAGGAAGGGCGCTTTCTAAGTAATGAAGAAATTATTATATTTTCGATTTTGTCGCGATTGGTGAGTTGCAGCTTGATGTTCACAGTTGGTTTTGCAGCAGTCCGTTCACTCCATTGATTTGATTCAGATTTGACCAGCATTTCAATTCCAATCTGTTTTGTAAGGACTCCAGTGCGAGGTGAGAGGATGCACTTCTCAGCCACTGTTGATTTACTAGCTTTTCAACTTCCCCTCCAACCCCAACCTAGCAATGTTGTTTCAAGCCTTGCGCAAGCCCAGGTGTTGACTAGATGTCCATCGACCCGACCAGATGACCACCGAGCCGCAACATTGCTCAGAAGGGGGTTGACGGGGGGAGGCACATTTGTTTTTGTTTTCATCCTAGTTTGCTTGATGTCTTTGTCGCTGCTGCGTACCTGGACATGTTTGCAGATTTCGTGAGCGCAGACCGCAGACTTTAGCAGTGTAGTGCTAGGCCGTATCCTGTAGTTGTCGATGGCTCCAAAAGCGCAAGCGAAAGCTGCTCCAAAGGCAAAAGCAGCTGCCCGTGGCGAGGCCCAAGCTGGATGCTGTTCGCGTGCATTGATGGACTGAAAAAAAGGTTGCTGGTGAGGCTCCAAATCTGAGAGTTAAAAGTAGCAATTGTTTTGGGCACCGCTTGTGGGGCCTCCCCTGTAATGCCTTTTGACGGTGTTCCAAAGTGATCCATTTACCCGCTCATGAATTTCGTTTTGAATTGCAGATGCGATGCGCCCTTCTACCACCTCATTTTTGTATACGCTCATGAGTTTGTATCTTGCACATTCCGACATCTGCCACATTGAACTTGCAATCTTGCACACACTTGTGCTGATTATGTGCCTTCATTTGTCCATTCTGGGCGCCTACCCAAGGCCATAACGATGACGCAGGACTCCGCCCCACTGAAAAAGGTGAGCCAAATTGTAAATTTACTACTTTCGGAGGCTCAGGGTACAGTTGCGCCATCCGCACCGTTTGCACCATGTCGCACCATGTCGCACCATGTCGCACCATCTTGCCATATATCGCACCGTCTCGCACCGTCTCGCACCATTTCGCATCATCTCGCACCAGCTCTCACTCTTGCATATTTTAGCAACTTCCACAGCCGGCGCGGACGGCGCAAGACGGCGCAGACAGCGCAAGACGGCGCAAGACGGCGCAAGACGGTACAAGACGGCGCAGACGGCACAAGGTGGCGCAGACAGCGCGCCGACAAACCAACCACGCTTGCCGAGCGCAGTGAACGTTTTCGTATGGAAATCTTGTGAGCTCATCTATATAGATCTACCTACAGAAAACCCTCTGTTGCTGCAGCTGCGATCATGTCTAAACTGATTTGTTACTGTTCCATGCCTACTGTTGCGTGTATCTCTGTATCTCGTACATTGACTTTCTACTCCCCACATTGTTTGGGGCCTCTTGCCGGTGTAATTTTTGTTGGTTTCGAAATCGAACATTTACATTAGATTGTGTTGGCACACCTGGTTTGCACTTGGCGTGTCCCATGTGGGAATCATGGTTGTTCACTGTTAACACCAGAATTTAATGTTTGTTTCGTGTGCTTTCCCCACACTGATTTCCCCAGTCATGGCAAACTAGCCATGGCTGGTGGAAACAAACAACGAAAAACATGTTCACCAACGGTAAATGGATGTTGAAGACGGATTTGTATGAAAAATCGCATGCTTGAAAATACATCATTACATTTTTTGGAAAGTGCCAATCCAGACAAATTACATGTTTTGACGTCAATGTCTTGAAGGGAAAAATCCAGCCAACGTGAATGTGTCTGTTCGCAACATTGTTTTTCAGTTGACAAATTTGCAATGCGGTTGCAACTTGAGTTGCATCAAATACATGCATAATTAATGCCAAACAACAAAAAAAACATGTTTTCGTTGGGGAAGTTTCTGGCGAGTGATTTTGTGCATCATTTGCAACAATGTTTGCAATCAAATTTTAGCATGTTTTGTTAACTGTTGCCGTTTTGCATTCACAACTGCTGTAAAAAAATAGCCCCGTTCCGAAACAGTCTGTTTTATCATTGCATACCTTTGTCTTGCAAATTGTTTTTTCGTTTTCGTTTGTAACGAACCGAAAAAATAATTGCAGAGGATGTTGGCGACATTAATGCGCCATAGTGATAGAATGATACATCAACGCACCCTTTTGGACAGCAATTAAACAACATTTTTTCCGCCAAACTCTTTAAAGTCACTCCATGAATGACATGAACCATGGGGGACACAAACTTGAGGAGGGTGAGCGCGGTCCTGAGAAGAGATGCGGAATGACAGTGGAGTGCAGTTGATGTGTTATGCGTCATGAATTCGAATTCTAACCTTGAACCAGCATCGAAAGAACTCGAACGTGTTTCGTGTCAGGTCCGTGAACATTTTGCGGAAAAAACTTGGACAGGTGTGGGAACCCAATGCCAGTTTTTTTCGCCAAATTAAGTCTGCAATTGGCAATGCAATGTACGTACAGGGTCCATAGTGAAACCCTTTTTGACTGTAAGTAGGAATGAAGGAACTCGTGTGTTGAGGCATTTTTCAAATTTCGTGGGTTAAAAATGTTTGGTGAGGGCTTTAGAATTGTTGACTTGCCAGGTTTTTCATATTTTGTTTACCCAACAGGATCACGGGCAATTCATGTTTACATTTTCCTCGAAAAATGCACATCGTAGAGGTTTTTCATTCACAAAATCAGGGTGATGGCCCGTTGTCTCCACCTTGTGTCCCTTTGGAACCTGAAACAAGCGGCACGTTGTCAAATTTATCCCATGGGTCAGACACTGTAACAACATGGTTTCTTGGTACAATCAAAAAAATTGTCGCCACCATGGAATTGTGGCCCAAACTTTGGGGTGCCGCCTTGTCTCCCATTTATGTGTCCCAACATATTTCCCGACATGATTTTGCGCGAAGTTCGTCATGGTGTGTTGTTTTCGGTATTTAGAGTCGAATTCACAAAAATGCCAGCTTGTTTCGATTGATTTGGTTTTACGCCAACTTCATCACAAAAACTCAACAAACCGTTCACCGGAATGGCTCTTTTGGCATCCACGGCACTGAGGTCTCTTTATCTTTTGGTGATGTGCCTTGGCAACGATGCGGGAAATGAAACCAGAGATTGATTACCTGATTAGGCAAATGTGGGTTGACATAAGATGAACCTTGCCATTTCAGGTCACTCTAAAGGGCGAGGACCCTCAACAAAGTGATTGATGCAACTTTCACGTCCTGATCATGGTTTGATTAAAAATGTTTGTGATCCGCAGACACATCTATCCGTAGATTGAATCAATACACATTGGAACCTGTTGACAATTGCTTGAAACAAACTAAATCGCTTTGATCATTCGAAAATCTGTTGCAATGCTGTGTCACTGTGGAACCAGGACAACCAAAAAAGTCCCGTGGAGTCTGACTCTGAAAGCGAACCCTCTGAGGAGGCGCTTAAGCTGCGGACGCTGTGGACGCTGTGGACGCTGTGTACGCTGTGGAAGCTGTGCGTTTGGTACCATAGTTTTTCTCGATGGACCTTTGGTGGACCAAAAACTGATGGACCTCCGGTATCTTTGGAATGCAGTGCGAGCACGGAAAACCTCACAATTTGCATAGGAAGTGAGCGATGAGGAATCCTCAGAGGACGTCGTGACGTCACGGACGTCGTTTTTTTTTTCAATGGTCTCGAAAGGTTGGTGCCAGAGATTGTTCAATGATTATGAACGTAGGGACGTAGGGTAACTATCCCAAAATGGTAGGTTGGTGCTATGATTTCCCCTCTGGTAATTTGGCGTAGCTATGGGAAATTGTAATTATAAAGAACAGATTAGAACAATAGGTATATCATCGAACCAAATGGGCCATGTCTTCCAGTTTGCAAACTCTTAAATTATATACCTTTCTGGGAATCCAGATGATTTTATCATTTTTTCATGTTTTATCATATTTTATCATGTTTGATCGTATTTCCCCACATCTTTGTGTGGAGTTCTAACTTTTTGTTCGACATCCGCCGTCCGGTGTCCGCCTCTCGCCGTCGTCTCCGTCCCGCCGTCAACTTGTCTCTATTAAGTTGTCTCTATCAATTTGTTCTATCAACTTGTCTCTATCAACTTGTCTCTATATCGAGTCTCTGGATCCCTTGGACGCCGTATAGACGCCGCGGCTTCTTTGCGTGGCAGGCGCGGCACTTGGTGACTCTCCGTAGTCTCTGGTCCTTTTGGATGCCGTTGACGCCGCGGCTGCTTTGCGTGGCAGGCGCAGCACTTGGTGACTCTCTGTAGTCTTTGGAGCCCTTGGACGCCGTTGATGCCGCGGCTGCTTTGCGTGGCAGGCGCGGCACTTGGTGACTCTGTAGTAGTTTCTGGACCCCTTGGATGCCGTTGACGCCGCAGCTGCTTTGCGTGGCAGGCGCGGCACTTGGTGACTCTCTGTAGTCTCTGGACCCCTTGGACGCCAATGAGGCCGCGGCTGCTTTGCGTGGCAGGCGCAGGACTTGGTGACTCTCTGTAGTCTTTGGAGCCCTTGGACGCCGTTGGCGCCGCGGCTGCTTTGCGTGGCAGGCGCGGCGCTTGGTGACTCTCTGGACCCCTTGGATGCCGTTGATGCCGCGGCTGCTTTGCATGGCAGGCGCAGCACTTGGTGACCCTCTGTAGTCCCTGGACCCCTTGGACGCCATTCACGCGGCGGCTGCTTTGCGTAGCAGGCGCTGCACTTGGTGGCTCTCTGTAGTCTCTGGACGCCGTTGACACTGCGGCTGCTTTGCGTGCTTTGCGTGGCAGGCGCGGCGCTTGGGCGCTTGGTGATTCTCTGTAGTCTCTGGTCCCCGTGGAGGCCGTTGACGCCGTGGCTGCTTTGCGTGGCAGGCTGTTTCAAACTGGTTTCAGGCTGGTTTCAAACTGGTTTCCGACTGGTTTCCAATTGGTTTCTGACTGGTTGCAGACTGGTTTCAGACTGGTTTCCGACTGGTTTCCGATTGGTTTCGGACTGGTTTCAGACTAGTTTCAAACTGCTTCAAACTGGTTTCCGACTGGTTTCCCACTGGTTTCAGATTGGTTTCCGACTGGTTTCCAACTAGTTTCGGGCTGGTTTCAGAGTGGTTTTTCAGACTGGTTCAGAGTGGTTTCAGACTGGTTCGGATCCAGTGGTTTCCGACTGGTTTTCCACTGGTGTCCGATTGGTTGGCAGTTGGGTTTCAGATTGGTTTCCGACTGGTTTCCAACTGGTTTCCGACTGGTTTCAGATTAGTTTCCGACTGGTTTCGACTAGTTTCCGACTGGTTTCCGACTGGTTTCCGACTGGTTTCCAACTGGTTTCAGACTGGTTTCCGACTGGTTTCCGACTGGTTTCAAATTGGTTTCTGACTGGTTTCGGGCTGGTTTCTGATTATAGTTTCTTTCCGGCTGGTTTCAGACTGTTTCTGGTTTCAGCCTGGTTTCCGATTGGTTTCCGACCCGGCTGGTATAAGACTGGTTTCGGACTGGTTTCAGACTGGTTGCAGATATGGTTTCAGACTGGTTTCCGACTGGTTTCAGACTGGTTTCAGACTGGTTCAGAGTGGTTTTTGATGTGGTTTCCGACTGGTTTCAGACTGGTTTCAAACTGCTTCAGGGTGCTTCCGGCTGGTTTCGACTGGTTTCTGAGTTGTTTCCAACTGGTTTCATGCAACTAGTTCCCCATAGTTCCCCACTGGTTTCCGACTAGTTTACGAGTGGTTTCGAATGGTTTCCGACTGGTTTTTCGACTGGTTTGCGAATGGTTTCCGACTGGTTTCTGCCTGGTTTCCGACTGGTTTCAGACTGTTTCAAACTGGTTTCAGACTGGTTTCAAACTGGTTTGAATGTGTTTCCGACTGGTTTCCAACTGGTTTCCGCAGGGTTTCTTCAGACTAGTTAACTTCAGACTGGTTTCAGACTGGTTTCCGATTGGTTTCAGAGTGGTTTCCGACTGGTTTCCGCGGACTGGTTTATTTCCGACTGGTTTCCGAATAGTTTCCGACTGGTTTCCGACTGGTTTCAGACTGTTTCATGCATGCAAACTGGTTTCAGATTGGTTTCAGATTGGTTTCCGATTGGTTTCCGACTGGTTTCCGACTGGTTTTCAACTGGTTTCAGACGGTTTCAGACTGCTTTCAGATTGGTTTCAGACTGGTTTCCGATTGGTTTCCGACTTGTTTCAAGCGTGTTTCAGACTGCAGGTTTCCGACTGGTTTCGGACTAGTCAGACTGGTTTCAGATTGGTTTCCGATTGGTTTCCGACTGGTTTCAGACTGGTTTCAGACTGGTTTCCGACTGGTTTCCGACTGGTTTCAAACGGTTTCAGACTGGTTTCAGATTGGTTTCAGACTGGTTTCCGATTGGTTTCCGACTTATTTCAAGCATGTTTCAGACTGCAGGTTTCCGACTGGTTTCAAACTAGTTTCTGACTGGTTTCAGACTGTTTCATGCAAACTGGTTTCCGACTGGTTTCAGACTGCTGCAGACTGGTTTCCGACTGGTTTCGACTGGTTTCAGACTGTTTCAGACTGGTTTCAGACTGTGGTTTCGCACTAGTTTCCGACTGGTTTCAAACTGGTTTCAGACTGGCTTCCGACTGGTTTCAGACTCTATCTATCTATCTATCTATCTTTCTATATCTATATCTATGTCTATATCTATCTATGTCTATATCTATCTTTCTATGTCTATATCTATCTATGTCTATATCTATCTATGTCTATATCTATCTATGTCTATATCTATCTATGTCTATATCTATCTATGTCTATATCTATCTATCTATCTATCTATCTATCTGTCTACTATCTATGTACCTACCTATATCCATCCATCCATCCATCCACCTACCTCTTTCCCAGCCAATCATCATCTGCTCCCACCATCCCAAGTCATCACCTTCGTCTCATTACAATCGGAAGGAAGGCTTAACATGTGGGGTTTTCTGGTCCTTTAATTCATCATTTCTAATAATTTTCTTTCATACATATTTTATCATCGAAGGAAGTTTAGAAGTCAAACTTCCGACAATATGGACAGATGAAAAGCATAGATGGGAAGAGTCAGAGAAGAGAAGAGAAGAGAAGAAGAAATAAGATCAAAGAAGAGAGGGTCTCAGAAGAAAGAATTAGGTGCGCGAAAAGGTCGGAAAGTCGCGAAACACTGTGTTTTTCCAATGATTTGTGGCTCCGGAGGGTCGAACAGTAGGCTCGCTAAAGCGGCGGGTGCGGAGCCATCTGGCCAGATGAGAGATGACAAGTTGCACGCCGTTGTGGCGCGAAGCACATCTCCAAGTCAAAATGTACAAAGGACACCATGCTCGGACCACTTTTAGAAGTTGAGATGTCGAAAAGTGCCCGCCGTTGTGGCGCGAAGCACATTTCAAAGTCAAATTGTACAAAGCACACCATGTCTGGACCAATTTTGGAAGTTGAGATGTCGAAACAGTGCACGCCGTTGTGGCCCGAAGCACATTTCGAAGTCAAAAGTGTAAAAAACTGAGGGGGGCGGAGCACTTTTGGACGTTCAGATGCCGTTTTGCATGTGAGTCGCAGGGTGTTGTGCACCTGGTCAAAAGTGAGTTCAATATGAGGGTTATGGAGCAGTTTCAGCTGCAACCACCACTAAACTACACTACACTACACTCCACTCCACTCCACTCCACTCCACTCCACTCCACTCCACTCCACTCCACTCCACATACACAACTACAGCTACAGCTACAACTAAATTGCACGACACTACACTACATTACACTACACTACACTACTTGCATTACACTACACTAACCACTACACTCCGCTCCATTCCACTACACCACACTGCACTCAAGTACACCACACACTACACTACACTACACCAAGTACAACTACACTACACTACACTATACTAATTAAGCTACACTACGCTACACTACGCTACACTACACTCCACTACACTACATTCCACTCCACTTCACGACACGACACTACACTCAATTACACTGCACTCAATTACACTATATACATTCAATTACATTACACTCAATTGCATTACACCCAATTACACTACACTACAACTACAACCACAAATGCAACTACAACTACAACTACAGCTACAACTACCACTACCACTACATAACACTACACTACACTGCACTGCACTGCACTACACTACACCACGCCACACCACACCACACTGCACTACACTACATCACACCACACTACACTACATTACACCACACTACACTACAACTACAGCTACAACTACGCTACTTTACACTACACTACACTACACTACACTACCCTACATTGCATTACACTACAGTCATTACACCACCGCAAATTCAACTGCAACTACAGTACGCTAATTACACTACACCACAACTACAACTCCACTACACTACAACTACAACTACAGCTGCACCACACCACATTACATCCAGCAGTTGTGGGTGAGGTGACCCACCAGGTGACCACTGCAACCATTGTAACTACTCCAAAAAACACAACTCCAGCCACCTTTCAGTCCATCAGTGGATTCGCTCTGCCATCCGTGATTCACAACAACCAACCTCTCCTATAGGGCTCCTATTTTTGAAACTTCCGCCACCGCCTTGTGCAGCACTACTGGTATTATCATATGTTCTCATATGTTCCCATATTTCTCATATTTTCCCATAGTATCATACTGAATCCTATGTAATCGAGCATTCATCACATTTCATTCCATTATTTCCCCGGCATCCTTATAAATCCCAGTCAAATTACCGAAGTACCCCTGCTGTCCCTTCGGGCCCAAAGGGATGCCTTGGATCGATCCACATTCGCAGGAGGCGGAGGACTTTGATTGCTTGTGCTTGCACCGGCAACTTGGGACGTGTTTTTTTTTTTTGGCGGAGATTCATGGGATGTTTTTCTGGGATGAATCACTTTGTTTTCACGGGTTCTACAGTACCAAGTCCCTTCCCGGAGGTCCCCACCAAGAGGCAGATGCGGGTGCACCTTTTCACTCCAAGTTGGGCTCGGTATTGAGCCAGTCAGTTGATTGGCCCTTGAGCCAATTGAATGGCTTGAGCCAGTTGCAACGGTCGGAGGACGTCTCAATGACTGTGAAAAACTTTAAAAAGACCTTAGTGGGGGTGCAGTGGTACTCTGCGCTGTTTTTTCCCAACCGCACTCCCCCTTCCTGCTTGCAGGAATCCAGGTTCCCCAACACCAAAAACAACAGTTTCAGGGGTGGCCACGTTTCCTCTGGGAACTCGCCCTTCCCCCAGCCAGAAGGGCGAAGACCCTCGTGTGCCATGGTCCCAGGCTGGTGTTGGTTCCCCCTTCATCCAAGGGTCGCGTGGAGTTCCACTTCGGGTCGACTCCAAAAATTGAAAAACTACAGCCCTAACTTCGTAGGTTTTTTGAATTCCCTCTCTCACCAGCGCCGCACTCGAAGAGCGCCCAACGGTGTTCTTTGGGTCCAGCAGCTGATGAGCTTTTCCCTGTATTGATCTTTTCCACCGGCAGCTAATGATCTTTTCCCTGGGTCTTGATGATCTTTTTCTCCAGCCACCGATGTACTTTTCCCGGTGATCTATCCTTTTTTAGTTCTTCTTTTTCTTTTTCTTTTTCGGTTCGCACTTGCAATAGGATCCGGACTTCTTTTTCCTTCTGATCGCCTTGAGTTCCCATTGGTTGCGGAGCTATCCCTTTTGAGGGTTTACCATGAAGTTGTATTTCACCCATCTTAACCACACTCCCCAAAAATTCCATCCCTCGAACTGCTACCTGATCCCTCGTTTCTGTGGGACCCGACCTTGGTACATCTTCAGCAGCTCGATGTTCTTTTCGCTTGGACCTGGCAAGATCCAAGTCCCAATGGTTCCCTTGTCCACCTCCCTGGATGGTCTTATGGAAGTGTTCTACTTTTCCCGCACTGTGCTCTTGGGCAACATGACCGTGGTGATCTTGTACCCGCAAAACTTTCAAAATTGGTGGATTTTCATCCCAAAAAATGAACCCTTTTTGGTTTTGAGTTACCCCTTTTGGATCTATTCCCCCGTTTTAGGATACCCCTAGGTTCTTCTTCTACAGGGTGTTCAACTTGTCCAGGAATGTTCTTCTTCTCCAAAAACGGTAAGACCGACTCCAACTGGAACCGATCCTTGACCACGGATTCAGTGACGCGATACGCATCAGCCAGTACTTGCACCAGCCTTCCAATGGCAGTGCTAAGGGCTTCATGCCGGAAATCGGCTAGTTCTGGATGGTTCTCGGTCAGACTAACCACCTTTTTCACCACTGATACACACCGACCAGCGATGTCTCGGTAGTTGTCCCAGGAGGGAGTCTCCTGGTCTGGTTCTTCCGAATGTTGTTCTTCTCCCAGAGCTTCCTTAGGGCTGTTGCTCGCAACCGCAAGTGTCGAGTCCGGACCGTCAGGATTTTCCAAGATGGCTATTGCAGCCGTGTTGTCTCCGTAGATGATCTTCTGCCCGATTTTCCGTCCTTCCACGACCTCTATGAGAGACGCCAGAGAGTCTCCCATGACCATGGATTCCAAGTAGGACATCAGTTCCCCTCCGGCGGTGCTCAACACCACAAAAGCTTGACGGCTGGCTTCCCATTGAACTAACCCTCCACCATAAAAACCTAGGATACCCTGCAGTGACCTTTCGCCCGCAGGGGCAAATGAAATGTCCGAGAACATCTCAACCTGCTGCATCTCCCGGTGAAATGGCAGATCATCTTCAGGACCACGATCATCACTTGTGCAAACCCCATAGCTGATATGTTGAGTTTCGGTTCCCTTCAGGTAACCAAACACTTGTTGAGCAGTTTTCACCACCCACTTGGGCCGCTTGTTCACCTGTCTTCCCAATTGGCTGACGGCAAAACTGATATCCGGCCTTGTCCGCATAGACAACCACAACAACTCACCCACCACTGTTTGGGCTTGTCGTATGTTTTCGATTGCTGGTTGTTCTTCTTCTGGAAGTTCAGCATCCGCCTTCGTCATTGGAACTGGTCTTGGGTGCTCCACTTGATGTCGATTCAAGAGATCCCGAGTGTAGGACTGTTGTCCCACCTTCCTTCTTGTGATCCCCTTGACCGCTCCATTGGAGCTCGAACCCACAAAATCGAACCCAGCCTTCGTGATCAACTTCTTCAGGAGTGGAGCATGTCCATTCTTCCTTCAGCCTCTTCAAGAAGCTGTGTTTGGCGTGAGGCTCAGCAAGAACCATAAGATCGTCCACATAGACGACCACCAAACCTACTTGTCGATATCCGTCAGGACGTACTTCTTCTCCTGGAGCGTCACCACCTTTACATAGGATTCTCCACAAATTTCCTTCCGGCGTTTGTTCTAGCTTGTAATCCTTCTGCACCTCCCCCGGGCTTGCATCTCCCTGCCATGTGAACCACCGCATTGTTTGGTCGCGGTACACCGCCCAGTGGGCAGGACTGGATTGAAACCCATACAGGGCCTTGTCAACAAGCCAGACTTCATCCGGTTGGGTAATCCCAAAATCCGTCATGATCCTGGGCGGAACCACCGCCACGGTTTTGGCACCTTGTTCCACCGGCCGAGGAGCTAGTAGAAAAGCGGTCTTGATGTCCGTCGTGGCTACATCCCATTGGTGATGAGCTGCCTTTCGCAATGCACACCTTATCAGAACCCCGTCTGCTCCACTGGCATACAGCAGAGATGAAGGCATGGGATCCGCTTCCGGTGATGCCAAGTTGCCGCAGATCACAGCGCGACATTTGTATCTCCCTCCAGCCTTGATCACACAGACCAATTTCCCCAGCACCAATTCGGCTTCAGGGTCAATCTCGGATCTTTTGACTGGTCGGATAGCCTTTGCTTCTGCAGTCAAGGATTTGTACTCGGCGAGCATCGAGTCGTACCACTTTTCCCTTTCCATCCTCACCTTGTGAAGAGGGACTGTAACAGTTTGAAGTTGTTCTTCTCCATCGCTACCATCAGCTTGTGCTGAACAGACCCTCAGTTGGCACACTCGCCTTTCCTCCTCAACGCAGTTGTTACAGCTTCCAGTTCTTCTTCCAAATCTTCACGATGTTCTTGTAGAAGTCGTAGAACTTGTCCCTGTATGAATCCACTGGAACATTTGACAGTTCTTCCTTAATGGCTTCCACAACTCCAAGGTGTTGATCTTCTTTGACCTTCAGCAGGTGTGTCAAGCCAACGTTTCTGACGGTGAACTCCCCCGAGGTTGGACTTCTTTCCATGTGCTTCTCCCCCGAGTCTGGACCATCTTGTGCAGAAACCCTTGAAACTTTGATTTTTTCACTTTTGAAAAGGTTACCGGGCTCCCCCCCTGCTGACACTTCAGCAGGCTCTACTTTCATTTTTGAGATTTCCGGCATGAGGCTGTCAATCTCTTCCACAGGAGCTTCCGGATCTTCTCTGTTGAGTTCTTCAAAAAGCAAATCGAGTTCATCAGGCCCTTCATCTGCTTCGAGCATTTCGCTCGGTTCGTATGGCTCTGAATCTTCGGGTGGTGATTCGTCAGGAGGTGGTAGCGGAGCGTCCCCAATGGTTGGCGGCAACCTCATGACACCTTCTGGCGGCGTCTTGGAGTAAAGCCGTCTGTGAGGCCTTTCAGGATTGTCTTCTATCTCCAACCTTATGTGGACCCGTTCCCCTTCCTCACTCGGAACAACCACTTCTCGAGCATGAACCACCTTTCCATCTTTCTGTTGGACTACCCAGCCCGAGAACATCATTGGACTCGGACACAGCAGGCGTCCTTCTGTGTATGGAGACGGAATCGCCCCCTTTTTGAACCATCTTTTTGACCGAACCAAGACGTTGGTCCTGAAGGGCAGCATCGACAGTACGGGCACTCCCAGTTTCTCCAACTGTTGCCTCATTCGTTCTTCAGCACAATACCTCATGGCTTGAGGCCAGTCGGTCACCTCACTTCCTGCCACGCGAAGATACAGACGGGTTCGCCTTTTGAGCTGATTGACCTCTGATTCCACATGGCCGTTTGATGCCGGGTCGTCTCCCTCCGCCAGGCTCTGTCTTATAAGGCGCTCTGAGCACCATTTTTCAACCTTTTTTGACAGCAGCTCTTTAGCCCGATCACTATGCAGACGGTTGATCTTGATGCCCATTGTGTTGAACTGCATTTTCCCAGGGCGACTAGTATTTCACTCACATGTCTTGACCCCAGAAGTTCCACCAGTGTCACGTGCCGTACATTGAACGGCTGCTTAGATTCTTCCACCAACCTTTTGACTTCTTCCGTCATCGGGTCGGGATCTTCTTTTTCTTCCTTTCCACTGTTGTTCTTCTCCCCCGAGTCTGGAAGTTGATGATCTTCTCCACCAAGTGGACAGTCCCCTTCTTCAAGACCGTCCCCCCACGAGGGTTCCAGAATTTTGGGTTTCCCATTTTCTGGGGATTCTTCACATGGCATCACGATGTCCTTCGATTGCGCTTGATCTTGTTGTTCTTTTGGTCGATCTTCATCTTCTCCAGTTTTGGTGATGTAATCCGGGACCAAAGCAGTGGCCACCATTGCATACTTCACCACATCCTTCCCAGAGGATAGATCCCTGACCTTTGGAAAGGGTCCCGGATGTCCACGCTCATCGCCCATGACGACGTTGTAGCATCGCGTCTCCTCCGATGTGGAGACCTTGCACCCATTTCCCAAACACAAGTCCTGCAATCCCTTCTACATGGTCGATGGCCTTGACGAATATGGGCCTCCCAGGCTTCCTCTGACGTCATCTTGGCCAAATGTGGCTCTTCACCCGCAGTTTCATCACCTTCCCGTTTGAGATGTCGGTGAAGTGCTTCTCGGATGGCAGCCCTCAATCCCGGTGCCCATACCGCCCATG